TTTTATTAATGAATTCAGGACAATTTTTGCATCATTTTTCTCCATTTATACCTTGTTTTAATATTCTGAGCATCAAAATTCATTCTCGTACAAAATAAATATGATACTCAGAATCAACTCGAACAGTTGCATTGAATATCCTATATTTTCTAAAAACTTTTTTCATCAAAAATCGATCCATAGGGACCCTAGAGCAAAATCTCGAAAAAATTTGTTTCATAAGGTTACCGGTTGGTTTGTGATAGGAAAAATTTTTAGACAAAATATAGGGTATTCAATGCAACTTTTCGAGTTGATTCTGAGTATCATATTTATTTTGTACGAGAATGAATTTTGATGCTCAGAGTATTAAAACAAGGCATAAATGGAGAAAAATGATGCAAAAATTGTCCTGAATTTATTAATAAAAGGCAAATTTAGGTATCACACACAAATTTTCACAAATTTTCGCATAGTATATTTTGTATCGCGGCATTATGGACTATTTCTGGGAAGTTTGTTGTCTGGTCATATCATCTGTGATTAACACAATTTATTACACGAAGACTCAGCATTCGTAACTAGTCGTGAAAAGCGATAGTCAATTATCGAAAAACCAAATTTTTTCCTATTAAGGATAGAACGATTAAAGATGTTAAATAGCTCATAGCCGGCTGAATGCTCTGCAGAACTGTATATGAGGAATTTTTTAAAACACTTCAGTGATATCAAGGCCGAAAATGATCAGTTACTGGTGATGCTTAGTCGTTCATCACTAATTTGACTGCAGTTCCTTTAAAACTTTGCGAAAATAAAAAATTAGTATATAGGAATAACTTATCATGACTATTGTTTGTTTGTCTTTTGACTAAGAGTAAATGTGATCTTGTCTATTTGAATTTTCTGTTTTAGGGAACGTTGGGTTACGAGCGAGCAGGCCATTGATGTACAATCGCAAATATAACGAAGCCTCCATCAATAATGTTTACAAATTTATCAACGGGACAAATTATTCCGCTTTTTTAAGGTTTCTATCAATTTTTGTCTTATTATTTTTTATGTCATACTCATTATGAATGTATTTGTATCTGTATGTACATATGTTATTGAGTGATTTTCATTTATACATTCGGAATAAACAGTTAATCAAGTTTCAATTGCAATCTAAACAATCTTCTTCTAATTACTACAGCGAAGAAAGAAATTCACCACCTATAATTATTCTCAATAGGATTAGATGAATCGATTTTTTTTCGCAAGAAAAGATTTCATTGAGTGTTTGACATAACAATACACGAAGTCATTGGCAAAAAAAATAACTTGTTTGTTTTGTCGTAGACTTTAAAATACTGTATAAATGATGAAGTATATTTTCTAAAATTTTGCTCTGTTTATTATTACTAGGATTTACTGACAAGAAATACCGTACACACCCACAATTGTTTAATTAATATGATTATAAAGAGTAATAAAGTATACAGCTTGTCCAGCTAACGTCGGCCCAGCGTGGCCAAAGTTGAAGTTCTATTTTCTCGAATTTAACCCTTTGGTATCGGGGCCCGTATATATATGGGCTGAACTTTTGCACAGATTATAACTTTTAAGATTTCCTTTCGTGTCTACGCCAGAAGAGTGTTCTCTCTTTCTCTTATGTTTTTAGCATCTCAACATCAACATACGACATTACTATACATGTTTATCAAGGAAGAAACAAAGCAGGTAGATTTGGAAGTGTGCAAGAATCCATAGGATCTCTATATCCATAACCTTTCAGAGTCCCCTGAAATCGAACAAAATTCTGTAAAATCGAATACAATCCCAGAACTGTTGTTGCCTTACGGAGCTGCGGCTACTGCACAAGCTTTACCTTACAGGTGATCAAACGTTAGATTTTATTGGACCTGTATTATGGTATAGGATTCCGAAGTTCTATGGGATAACCCAATGGATTTCATAAGATTTTGCGCTCTTCTGTTTGACTATGTATTCAAGAGTCTTGGGGAATTCTATGAAGTCTGATGCACTCCGTTATTTTCCTGGGCGTATACACTCTCTTTCAGTCTTTTCAAAAGAAATCAATATTTTTGTCATTTTTCCAAAAACTCCCGGTATCAAAGGGTTAAACATGATCAGTTTGTAAAGCACAGTTAACTGTGTAAGAATACGAGTTGTGTTTTTTCATTCCTTCTATCAGGAAAAAGAACGGGACACCGAAACATAATGTATGATTTTATTTTATTATTGTGTATTTCAACAATGGAAAGAAAAAGGTTCTGAGCACATATTTTAAAACATTTCATGAAATACTTATGATATCGAAAGAATCACTAAGAGATGGACTTTATTTTAGGATGTCTAATAAAATGCTATCTTCTTCCTCACTTTAAAAAGTCGTGTCGTAAACCTTGACCAAAACAGTGATGAGTACTTTACCATTTAGAGGGTTTTGTCACATCTATGCTTCTACTACGTGATACATTTTTAATGGAAGCTATTTATTTTTAGGTAACTTTTGACGGGCTATCACATGCACTTTTTAGAATTTTTATAATCGTATCTCTCAGGACAATAAATGGTAACGCACTCATGCGACCTATGCATGTTCAGCAGCCCATTAAACTATTGATCATAAAATATGCGCTTGGTTCTGTTCTCTTTTAATACTGGTACTAGCGTAATGTCTCCTACAATTTAGCTAACCATTTTTGTAGAAGTGTCAGCTATATGGACTACGAATTATCCAGTATTTTCCGAACTATTTTCATGGTGAAAGTTTCTTTATCATGACATTCTTTGCTCTTTGCAGTAAAATACAGCAGCGGATAACACGACTTCATTCCCAACTATGAGATTAAACGTTGTATGCCTAATCTGATGTAATATTTAACAGTTTGTCCATCTACGAACCGACGCTAAGTTTTTTATACTTAATCATATTTCAAGGTCGATTTTACAAGGTATCGCAAAAGTCGTGTCCATTTAAGAAATGCCTATGACTCCATTACTTAGCAATCTTAATCTAATATTTTATTCCGAAGAGAGAACATAAAGCTTTTACCGTCTAATACAAAGTTCATAAATACTCTTTAAAGGCTACTTCTAACTGCTACATGAAATGTAGCATTTTTTCCTTGTCAAAAATTGGTACATGATGTTTTTCTATATTTAATTGAATTTTTATCGACAATATGAACTTTAAATTATTAACATCCATTATTGCCGTTCTACAACCATTTATTTAACAATTTTCGAGAAGATCAATTATCTAGTACATTTCTGCTAAGCAGATTTCTTTTAACATAGCGAGAACTTTGATAATTGGTGAAACCAAAATAATTATATAATTGAAAAATTGAGTATAAGACTGCTATGAAGTACATGAGAATTTATTCAAAATTCAACTTTTTATTTCAAGCTTTCGGTGAATATCTTCCACCATCATCAGGAAACAATATACAAATAGAGAGATTGGAACATTTTATACATACAAGATAAAAGAGATAAATAGTTACAAGAGAGCAAAGAGACAAAATACAATAAAAAAACAAAAGCTTTCTTCTTCAATTAGTGTAATTATATATATTCGCGAATATATATGTTCGTAGAACATTTCCTTTGGTCCATTTACTGTCCTTTTTAGGACATTGTTGTTGTTGTTGTTGTTGTTATTGTGGCTGAGTTGTAATTATCTGTCGTTGTAGTTGATGGGAAAAGGTTTAGATGAAACCATGAGTTATGTGTGTTTGTTCTATTATTTCGTGAGCTATTGGAGATTTAATCTTTCGTAAGATAGTATTATTATTATTGAATATTATTATTATCAACTAACGTTATTTAATTATTTATTTTTTTTTATAGTGTTTATTATGTTTAGGCATATATTTTAAGTTTATGTTTAACATCGTTTAGTGCCTGTCCAAAGCTATAGTGTGTGAAGAGGCTTTCTTTAATGATTCGTCTCTTCCAATCAGGTTCATATGATAAGATTTTTACATTACTGAAATCAAATGAGTGTTGTTTTTGAAGAATATGTTGTGCTACATTTGAATTTTTATTTTGTTTTTTATGTCTTTTTGGTGTTCTTTCATCCGTATATTTGTCTCACGGTTTGTTTCACCATAGTAGCTCATTTTACAATCTTTACATGATATTTTATATACTACTTTTTCAGATTTTTTATTTTCATCAGTTCCTTTTTGTTTACTTAGGAATACCTGTTTTAATGTATTAGTTTTTTTGAATGCGATATTTATGTCAAGGGTGTGGGTGTGGGTTAAGACGAGACCCGCACCCACACCTACACCCTTCGGTTATGCACGCTTTGATCTATGTTGTCTATGCGAACAAAACAAAAAAAAGCGTTTTGTTTTTCGGGTGTGCATGTGCATGTGCATGAGCATGTCCTGTTTATTGAAACTAGGGCTGTCAACTGTACCCCATTTTGGGGTATTGTACCCCATTTCGTGATATGGCACCCCAGAAATAATTGTACTCCAGAGGTACACATTTTGTACCCCATTTGGATTTTTGAGTTTTTGATGCTATAAACGGATCTTTAATTGAAATAAATTGTATTGTTCGATACAATTTATGACACCACTGTAGAGACATTAGAAAAGAATAATATTGGTGAAAAACTAACCAATAAATATTAATATTCATTTTATTCGTTTCGTTGCATCTGAACTTTTTTTTATTTTCCGATGAAAGTAAAGTTCGATGACTCTTTTGTTCTTTATTTTCCTTTACTATTTGTGTATCATATTTGACTTTCACTCATAATATTTATAAAATTAATTTAGATTTTGGTTTATGATTAATGGAAGTTGACATCACTTCTGGATTAGAATTTAACAGCGACAATCAAATTCAGCTGTGTAAAAATTTTGAATCTGAACCAGAAACAACAACGACGACAACTGAAGCATTTTCTAGTTCAATTGAAAGATCAAGTACAGATACACAACAAAAACCAAAATCAGCATCAAAATCGAAGAGTTTCTGTTTTTAAGAAACAATGGATGAAAGATCCAAAATATGCACGCTTTCTTCAAGAATGTAAAACAAATCCTCATTTTGCACATTGTTCAATATGTAAATCAGATTTTTCCATTGCCAACGGAGGAACATATTTAATTAATCGTCATATTGAACAAATAGGTCATAAACGTTTACTTGCATTTGAAGATAAAGAAAAATGTAAGCATATCAGCGATATACGAAAATATATGATTAACTGATTTTTTTGGTTTTTAAGCTCGTTCAATGCGCGAATTTATCACTCCATCAACTTTATTAACCAAATTGACTGCTGCTGAATTAAGTCTTGTATATCATGGAGTACATCATGGCCACAGTTATGTTAGTCAATCATGTGTCGTTGATCTTGCGAAAAATATTCAGTGTTTCTAATGGAATTCTAAAACAAAATGTACAGTACACGCTGTTTTGGATAAGCAAAGTGTGCAGCAAAATGTACACAGACGTTTACATTACCGAAGTGAAGCGAAAGAGCAAAAGAAAAGAAAAACTTCTAGTATAAACAAAGATACAGTGGCCACAAAAATTATTAGTACGATTTCGTTTTTGATTAAAGGTACACAAAACATGGAGTTTTTAAATTTTGGTGGTGATCAAAAGAATCATCACGTCTTCTAGTATTCATACTATAAAATTTAGCTTTACAGAGTGAACCTATATTAAACGAGAGATCACTCTTTAAAAAATCATGCATTTTTTTACGCAATAATTATTCGTACGATTTTGATAAAGAAAATATTTTTCTGCTTTTATGGTTTTAAAAACCTTAATTATGAATAGTTAGATGCAGGAACACTCACACCAACAGTCACACTCACACTCACACTCACATCCACACCCCACACCCCACACTCTCACTCTCATCTCAAGATAATAATCAATATTCTTGAACAATATCACCTTTTCTTTCTCATTTGAAATAAAATTTTTATCTTTGAATTATTCTTTGAAATTTCTTTAGCATAAGTATTGAAGA